TGGGTGAGAGGGGTTTCTGTGGTGTGGGTGCCGGGGGGGGGGGCGGCTTGTCTGGCCCCGTCCCACGGGTATACCCCAGCTGTCTGCGCTTCTCCTGTGGACTTGAGAGCCTCGGTAGACTCTTGGACCCGTCTTCCGGTGCGCACCCAGGCCCATGTCTGACGGGCACCTGTGCTTCGGGCTGTCCTGTACAGCGGTGCTGACCTGCAGTCGTGTGGGGCTGTGCCCAGGGCCTGCCCCGTCATCCTCTGCATCAGTGGAGGTTTGCAGAGCACCTCCTCTGGGAAAAGCACACTTACTCCTGCCTCGGCGGAGCTGGCTTCTCTCCGAGGCTAAGCAGATGTCAGCAGTGATAGAGCTGGGGACAGAGAAGAGAAAACCGGACGGGGCGACGACGGGAGACCGCGAGGAACAAGGGCCCTGGCTCAGCTCAGCTTGGGGTGGTTCAGAACCACATGGGAGACGTGGGGGCCCCCAGCCCATGGGACATCGGTTTCCTACTCTGAGGCAAGGTTGGCCTCTGCGCCTTGTCCACGGACCCCAGCTCTGCCTTTGGGGCTCAGAGGCCCTGCCCAGCAGGCTGTGGCCTGCCACCCATCGGAGCTTGTGGGGGTCCTCCCAGCTTAGCCAGGACCCACACCTGGAGGCCTGGACCAGCACGGGCTGCGTCACAGTCGGCTTCGATATTTCCTGAGCACCTCCCCTCCCAGGAGGGTGAGACCCCGACCTTGGTTTCTCCTTGATTTGTGTTCCTTACTTGATATTCTCATTTGACCTCCTCCGCTGGAGTGCGCTGCTGCCTGGCAGGGTTTCACTGGCCCACAGTGTACTTTGTGAAGCGTTCAGCCAGACCCTGCTGCCCACGTGGGCTCCGCAGACGGCACCATTTCTCTTAAAGACACTTAGAAGCCGGGCCCCTTCAGTCCTCACGGCAGCTTTGAGAGAAAGAGGCCTTTGCTGCAGGTGAGGGCAGAGGCCCTGAGAGGAGAGTGGACGACCCCCGGCCACACAGCTGGGGCCCCTGCCCATCTCCATGCCTGGCAGAGCAGCGACCAGGCAGGGAGGGCGCCAGGAGCTGCCGGGGACTGGATGCTCACATCTGCCCTGGCCCACAGCAGGCAGAGGCAGAGCCCGAGGTGGAGGTGGAGGTGTACCGGCGGGCCTCCAAGAAGCTTCCGGGCCTGGGGGACCCCGACATTGACTGGGAGGAGAGCGTCTGCCTGAACCTCATCCTGCAGAAGGTAGGCAGTGGGGCGCGGGCAGGCGGCTGTCACGGCCCGGACCCAGAGCCTCGCCCACCGGCCCGACTGTCTTCCAGCTGGACTACATGGTGACCTGTGCGGTGTGCACGCGCACCGAGAGTGGCGACATCCACATCCATAAGAAGAAATCCCAGGTGAGCGGCGTGCAGACCTGCCTGGCCGCCCCGTATGTGCTGGGGTGGAAGCCCTCCTCCCCTACCCCTGCCTGTGGTCAGTCTGACTCTTGCAGCCCCTTCAGCTCAGGGCCCCATGTCCTGGGAATAGCCCGGAGCCAGGCCCTCCTAAAGGGCCCCTGCAGAGGGCCCCGCGGCTTCGGGCTAGCTCTGAGCAGCATGGCTGCGCTGGCCTGGCTCTGCTGTGCAAAGCACGAGGCCTCACCCAGGCCTTCACGTCCGCTCCTTTTCAGCAAGTGTTCGCATCCCCCAGCAAGCACCCTATGGACAGCAAAGGTGAAGAGTCCAAGATCAGCTACCCCAACATCTTCTTCATGATCGACAGCTTCGAGGAGGTGAGCTGCCAACACCGGCCCTGCCCCTCAGCTGGCCCCGCCCTGGAGACGGGGTGAGGGCCTCCTCTTGGTCTCCTCACTCCCTTCCAAGACGGCGTGGGCGGCTGGGCACAGGGCAAGGCCAGACGCACAGGCTGGTCCCACCCCACTGCAGGTTCCACCGGGCGCTGCGTCACCCAGCTTGGAGCCTTGGTTCCCGTTCAGTGCAGTGAGAGCAGTGAGCCCTGACCTGCTTGTCGGTCAGCCTTGAAGATGAAAGGGCTCATAAGGGCAGATGTACGCTGTGAGCGGTCAATGTGCTGCCGGCTAAGGGCTGAGCTCCCCGCTAGACGGGACAAGCACCCAGCCCACGCCGACTCAGAGTGCTGGGTGGGCTCCGGGAGTTACCTGGGCCACGTCTGCTCTCAGGCTGGGAAACGGGCCCCACGGAATCCGCCTCCCTGGGAGAGACGGGCCCCAGAGGGCAGGCTCCCTGCTCGCCCGCCTGCGACTCCCGTTGAGGCCCTTCTGTCTGTGGTCCTCTCTCCACTCGGGATCAGGGCCCCCGGGAGCCACGAAGGCAGCTTGTCTTCCAGGGCCGCTGCTGGACTGGACGCGGCTTGGAACACCTGAGCCTCCCCAGGCTTACCCTGCGTTCTTGTGGCAGAGCTGAGGTTGGCACCTGAGCCTCTGACCTGGGAGCCCCACTGTCACCAGCCCCACTGGCAGGGACTTGGAAAGGCGGCAGGGTGGGGTCATACCACCATGCCACCTCAGTCTGGGCAGGCAGTTACCCGTCGGGCCACCCAACCTTTGGCTACACGAGCCGGGATGCTCAGGGCAGGTGGGACAGGTGCACAGCACACCTGCAGGCCATGCGTGGAGGCTGGCAGTCCTTGGGAACTGTGCGACTCCTTGGCAGGAAGAACAGTGTCCCCCTGCTGCAGTGCCGAGGCTGTCCCCACCCCTCTGGTCTCAGTCGGGCAGCTGTGGGTCTCAGCTCAGCGTTTTCAGCGGCTGAGGCTCTTAGCAGTCAGGCCGGCTGTGGTGGTGGGTGGGTGAAGCTGAGCCTCCACACACCCCCTCCTCTTTGCACCCCACCTAGGTGTTCAGTGACATGACCGTGGGGGAAGGAGAGATGGTCTGTGTGGAGCTGGTGGCCAGTGACAAAACCAACATGTTCCAGGGGGTCATCTTCCAGGGCTCCATCCGCTACGAGGCACTCAAGAAGGTGTACGACAACCGGGTGAGCGGCGGCCACAGTGCTCCTGGCGCCCCATGGCACCTGCGTGGCCCCCTGCTCTTTCGTGGTGGCTGCCCCGCCTTAGGCACCTGCAGTCCCAGGGGCTCCTCACAGGTGGCTGTTGGCTGGCTGCTGTGCATGCCTTCTCCGTGCTGGCCTCGGCTCGCCTGGCCACCCACCCCATCTTCCCCACACTCCGTGATCCCCCGGGATGACAGCTGCTGTGGGACTCCCTCACTTCCTGAGTCACCTGTGTCCTGTGACAGTCCCGGAGTGGGTCCCTCACTCACTGCAGGCAGAGGCATCCGTGCACGGACTGCCCTCCACAGTGGGCACTCCCGAGGCTCGTCCCCCGCCACGAGCCTA